AATATTAAACTTATAGGATGGCAGTTAGACACCGACGACCTGTTCCCTTATTTGTAGATAGGTGCTTTTATTTCAAACCTTCCAGTCGCTTAGTGCCACAGCCTGAGCTAGGGACATTTTAAAAATCTCTACAGGTAATAAGTACATTATATCCACCAAGGACATTACCTCTTGAGGGTTTTTTTTACGCACTGATGACTCTTCTGGTTTCATTCTAGATGATATTTTAAGGACTGCTGCGTCAGCTACTACAATCAGGATTTTGATTTGGGTGACAGTGAACTCGTTGTACCCCTGGATGGTACGATCAGACGAGTACAGCCTTCTGGGACAATTCGTTCAGTCAGATGCAGAATGCCTTTCATATTCTGCACAACTTTTTTCAGCCACAAGCAAAGGCTTCGAAAACAGCCTATCTGAAAGTCCTTCCTTTCTTAAAGCAAATCGGTTCCAAAAGCTTTTACTCTCTCTTAATTACCTACTTATTTTACTTCCTAACTAGGATGGATTATGCGATAGTTTTTAAGAGGGAAATAACTGTGCAAGCAGTGAAGTGAAACAGTCTAATGTATTCCCATAAACACCCCAAGCTTTCTCGACAATTCTGTTTGTATTAACTGGTCAATCACTTATGGTCACCGATGCATCCGCTTTGTAAATGCTTCGACTAGTGATTGTCGACCTAGGTATGATATCATGAATCTGAAGCGTAAAAGTAACGACTACAAGGCAACTACGTCCTAGCCGTTTTTGGAACCTAACGTCTCTCGCATTCTAATTCTGGTGTGTTAGCACTAAGTCTACAGTAGAGGTCACATTGTGTTGGTGCACACACATGCTGCAAAAATGAAAATCAGACGGTTGTCAGTTCTTTGCTGAAACAGGTATGCAATCCAGTTGATGTTAGTTTCTCCGACGCAACATTCGCTTGACATGAATCGATGTATTTCGAGTCTTGAAACAAGGTATTGGAATCTCGCCACTATCATCTTGGTGATCACAGTATGGATTTCCCCCCACACTGATGCCAAAGAAGAACAGCAGAATATCAGAACGAAGCTTATGACCTGAGTACTTCAAAAGCTAATTTTATGAAATTACAATTCCAAGAAATGTTTCCCTCGTCTCACACGTCCAAATTAATATTTGCAGATCCGACTGTTCTTTGCTATAGAAACAAGCTTGTTTATTCTAATTGCATCCTATCTCTTCCCTGTCGGTTCTTGAGCTCATCGGAATTTTCCAATCTGTGGACTACTCAGGCAGTCTTAAACTGAAGACCATCGCACTGAGGGTGTTGATGTTCACGCATAGTATAATGTATACTGATTCAGGATGTTATACCCTTAACTTCCAAAGTATTTGTTTTGCATATGCCAGAGACAAAGTAAAACACCAAACTGATAGACCAAAATACGAAATATACTTCGGGACCGAAATAGTAGTGCGAGGATGATTGCTTCACTAACTAGGGATCGTGCACGTGAGAGCTAGCGCTTCAGCTAACGAATTACATTTCGGATTTGAATTCCGGTAAGACTAGTTAACCTCTAGTCTTGAAACTACCTGTACATTGTCAGGGAGAATGGGTAAAAGTTGCTTGCAACATCAAAGAGAGCGGTCGTGAATGGTCGTCTGATGACTTATCCTAATTCTTCAAGGAACAGATAGATATCTGTAACACTAGGTATGGAGTGATGGGCATTTCACGAAAAGAAGCAATAAAGAGATTTTCACCCCTGCGAAGAAGAACTCTAGTCCTGACTCTACATAGCGAGTGCTTTCTACCCAGACAGCAATGTCGAATGTTCGACTAGTGATCTTGATAAAGAGTTGCATATATCCATTCCACCGCGTTTATTATGCTGAGGAAAACATTTTATAAACCAAAGCATGTAGTTTAAAGGTAAATACGCCCATTAATGTTTGGACTTCTTCTACAACAGAAAACTATGTAACGTCTGTTTAAAGACCAACCAAAGAGAAAAGAATTGCCGATCTCCAAGATCGTGTACAAATGAGGGTTGTGGTTAGGGAAACCACACATTGCTGTACAGAAGACAAATATTATCTGATGATACAAAAAACGATGTGCATTTCTGCTGTCAACAGAATAATGAAATGAAGTTGTGCAGGACTGTGCCAAGTGAGGAGGTGCTTACGATAGAGCCCGTTCTACCTGGCTACAATAGTAAAGTAATTCAATCCCGTACTCTTTTGGATATTGAGACGCAACGCCTTTGCAGAAAGAGAAATACGTTTAGCAGGAACAATTTCTGTCAAGAAACTGGGCTCACAATCCACCTTATTCTCCAGGAAGGTGCAGAAGGAAGTTTTTAGAAACTGACGGTATTGACGTTCACGGATCCAATATCCAATATCGTTTTTACGAGCTAGTATAAACCAATTTGATTTCTTTGTGCTTGCCTCCTGATTGTGAGGTATAGGTAGTACCGTCTATCGGCAGACGTCTAGGAGTAAATCATGATTAAGTAGATCCGTGCCAATGATGGGCATTGTGACGTAAGCGAGAAGGAAAATCCACTGAATAGGTTTGCGTAAACCTACGTTCAGATAGACGTATTTCCTACCAAAGGTTGAAATTGGTTTTCCATTTGCAGCCCGTAAGTTGAAGGTAGGTTCCTTCTGTCGATCTGCTGTTGTAGCAGGAAGGACGCTGACTTCGGCGCCTGTGTCGACTAAATATCTAGTCTGGCTAATTACATCGTGGATGTAAAGTAAGCGGCTAGTGACACCGGTGACGGTCGCCGCTAACGCGTGCTGGCAGAATAGTTTTTCACAGACTTTGAGACATTGCCGAAGTTACAAGGTTTTCGGCAACATTTCGCTTCCTGGCCATAGGCGTTGTGATACCAGCACCAGTCAGTGTTTTTCAGAGAACGTGGCTTGGACTTAGATCGACCGCGTGAGTTTCGCCGTTGAGGGGATTTAGAACGATGGTAGGAGGAATTACTAGGCATGTTTGACCTGAGCATCTGCTGAACGGAGTTGATTAACTCTATCATTGCAGAATCCTTCTTCGAAGCCTGTTCGGTAACTGAGTATACTTCGGTAACTGGCCGTTTAGTTATTTCTAGAATTTTATCAACAGAAACAGGAACACAGAGAAGAAACAGCTAAGTCATCCATAATAACACCCTGAAGTGTCACAAGTACAGCCTGTACTGACTGTGGCAGTTTGGCTAAGAAAACTTCTCTGAAAAGTCGTTGGCCAATAACTTCTCTCATTCTTGTCAGCATGCTCACGGCTGACTGATCACCTAACTCGACGTTACGACATAATTTCTACAGAGGCTGGCGATCCGTGAGAACGTTTCTCTTTAAGACGATTCCTTTAGGCAACTCGTACGAGTTACTTACCTCTGGGCTCGACATCTGCACAGTTACGCACTTGCTGAATTCCCGCAGTAGGGCATGAACAACTGCAAGGAACTGTGAACGTTGATCAGTTATCCCATGCTCACTAAAATCAAACTCAGCTATCTGAAACTATGATTCAGCATTATCTGGCAAAATGGTACGAGCTGAATGGTTTCGGCAGTTGAGCGAATATGAATGGTCTTAGGAGCATGATCACTCATGACGAAATATATATAGTTTGAAAATAGTACAAGAACAAATACAAAATAGAACGAACCCACCGGATTTGTCTGTGTATTTACCAATGATGAAGTTCGCGGTTGGGCTCACCAGTTTAGAGGCTAACGGTATTGACGTTCACGGATAGTATAATAATAATGTATATTTTCATATAAACAAAGTATAAAGTATACTAACGCAAGATCTAATATCTACAACTTCTATAGTATTCGTTCCGCGTAGACCAAAGGCAAAGCAAAACACGATAGTTGATCGTCCAAATTACGAGATATATTTAGGGACCAAATCAGAGTGCGAGATGATGGCTTAGCTAGGGATCGTGCATGAACGTGACACGACGGAGTACCAAATGGCGTGGATGCTTGACTGGAAGCCTTCAGCTAAACAAGCCGACTTAAACAGTGAGGGTCAGCATCCAATGTTCAGTGATGATTGCTGTGGTCAATAATTTTGGGGAATTATTTACCGTTACATGTTTCTTCGGCCGATACCTCTACTCAGGTGATTATGTCAAAGGCATGGACAATCAAGGAATTGCCCTAGTTGTGTAGCGTTTCACCGACAACAGATCAGGTATCATCGTGGAAACTTTTACATGGCATGTTTCTACCAGACGTTAGGAATGACGGGATCAGAATGCTCATTGGCTGTAAAGTGCCAGAGGTACATATAACGGTTGATGTAAGGTTCGATGAAGCTAACTGACCTCACATTATAATGGCTCACCTGGGATGGACTTTACCGGGACGATGCAACAAGGCCCTCGGAGAAACTAATTTGGTGAATCATTATTTTTTTTGGGATTACAGCTTGATGCCACACCGTATTTTTAGCACAAGCATGGCATTTTCAGCGTGGATATCAGTAAACCACATTTCGCAGGCCGACCATAGATATTGGGTGTGCGTCGGTAGGGGTTCGAACATCAGACCATGGGCATGGTCGGCGATAGTCCTAACCACTGTGTCACCGACGCACAGAAATGTAGGTTATGTTTTGATAGTTTTATATGGGTAGGTTTTAAAACGTGAGTAGTAATGTTTCCAAGTCTGTCGAAGATCGTAGAGCTCTCAGTATCATGCCTGTATCCAAAGAGTGGGTTGGTGGAAACTATAAAATAGCACATGGCGCAAAATTGCCTTGATTACTGAGAAAACTCGGGGTGTAGATCATACTGAGGATGACCCTTCTGTCGTAAACAGGGATCTGAAAATTCCCAGTGGACTGAATAAGCCTAGATTTCCACCAGAGTATGCACTTAATGCTGCAATATTTGCTGTATTTTCCTCTTCCGTTTAGCTTCTGAATGGCTCACATCACATTTAAGGGATCTCTTGCTGACTACTGATTTTGAAGTAGACGTCCACGTATATGTGACCATGGGCAGGAAGTTCTCATCTGATGTTCAGTCACTTTTATCGGCTGCACGAAGTTATGTGGAATGCTGGTATGTTTCCGGCTGTCGAGCTCATATCCCGGTAATTCATCTGACAGTGAAACCTCATGATGTATTGATTTCACAATCCATTTTTGTTAAAACATTTGCTCTTCATAATGATAATCTCTCGATTGATGCTATGACGATGTTCGAAATGCTGGTAGACATTGAAATCCTTTTCGTTCTTAGATTTGCAGAACCCAGTGTATGCTTTGCTACAGTAGCTTTCAGAAACATTCATTGAAAACCTGTCAAAATTCTACTTAAGTTTTGAAGTGATCCCTGACTCATGCAAATCGAATAATCTGTTCGTATTGGTTGGTGGCATTAAATGTAATAATGAGACAAATTCTACTTTAAAGCAACTTCAAGTAGCCCATTTATCCAATCATTATGGTATCAGTGGTGGTAATCACCAACTAAAATTCTGCTTATATTCACAAGATTCTCGTTTGAGAGTTTCAAATTTAGAGGTATATAAAGTCTTAATAGATGTAGAACCAGATGTGATTACCTATAATGGCAATGATTGTGCAAAAGTGGGTGATGAGAATGTGGAACAGTTTCATAGTGCCAAGATACAAAACAGTACTATTACTAATAGAAGCAGTAGTGAACTAACCTATTGTGATAAAAAAGGGAATAGTATATCTAATTACTCAACTAGAAATGATTCAACACAGGAGCGTCATCAGAAAAACCTGTCGTACTATGCTGGTGATTGCATTCTATTAGTTAATTCTATGTATTTGAAAGAATGACTAGGATGCGCATGTAGAATAAATCTGTGTGCTGGTGAATCTTGTCTGTTTAATATATCAACTGGCAGATGTATGCTACCAAGTCAAACATGGACATTACATTGTTGTGTTCGTGTAAAATTGTCGTAACCCATGGAATCAGCTATAGGACGCAATTGTACATATGAAAATACTAGTGAAGAGATTCAAAGGCAGACTAGTCTAACTACTAGTCTTATCTCCTTAAATCTAAATTCATCATGTCGTGTGCAGCCAGCGCCGACGTTGTCATAGTCATAGTCTTCACTACCAACATCATTACCGATGGTGTCGTAAAAACACTCTTCGCTCTCTTCGCATTCATCCTTTTCAGAACCCCTTAGTGATGTTTGTGAAGAGAATAATAATAATTCTACTGAACCGACTGATACTGCTACTGCCAGTTGTCACGGTATAAGAGGTTCAAAACCTGTAGCGACCATATATTAAGAATAAATTCATTCATGTGTTTATATAATCTAGGAAAGAGTATAGGCAGAATGTGTATACTAGTAGAGGTAGAGGAAAAAATAAGTATTGTCACATAGCGATTAGATAATATGATAATAAATTGTGGGACCGAGATTGAAGTATACAATTACAACACAGCATGATTTGGATAATACAGTTAGCATTACAAATAAAATAAGATAATATTTACACTTATATATGTTCAAAACAAGTTCACTTTTAACAGTTTGAAAAAATTCGGGCATTGGATATATGATATTCATTAAAACGAAAGTTTTTTGTATTTCCCAATGAATGGAAAACAAAACGATATTGTTTTTACTGACATTTCGCTATTTAATGCTAATAGCTTTATCAAAGTATTATTAAACCAGAATTTACAAAATCTCAGCTTATATATAACAACTTAATCATCGTTCCTCAGCATGGGGTCATTTTCGCGTTGTCAAGTTGGCCAATTGGTAAAAATAACAAAACCAGGAGTAGATTTCTGGATTTGATAAGTGTGTAAAATTATAAAAGCAGCACGTGTTTACATAATGAAATTGCTTATCCTATTCGTGTTTGTGTTGTCATTTTATGAGGGAGGGGTGTTGTAACCAAGTCAAATTCTGTTTTAGTCTATCATTCCTAATCAGGCAATTTGGATTCCATTTGATATGAAGTAATTATTCCCGTTTTTATACAAGTGTGGATTTCAGCATGGCGGACTTCTCATATTAGACGTTGTTTGTGATTTCTGAAGTTTTTCTGGATTATTTCAATATTGTCAAAATCAATTTTGTGGCCTGATTCAATAGCGTGTAGACCTATCGCTGATGGTTTTTCAAGTTTTGCTAGTTCATCCGGATTTCTCGGGGGTCAAACAGACGCTCTACGGTGTTCATTTCTTCTGATTTTGATTTCTTGCGATGTTTGTCCGATGTATGTCGCATCACATTCCAGGCATTTTATTTTATAGACACAGTTAAATAGAGAATCTTTAGGGATTTTGCCTTTTATATAGACAAGGTTGCTTTGCAGTGTGTCTGGTTTTTTGAAGAAAACTCTGATGTTGTGCTTATTGAGTTCTCTTTTGGTATCGTCTGACGTGTCTGATCTATATGGAATGACAACTGTTGAGCCCCAACAGTTAGTCAGAGGCATTTGAATTAATGTGGTCAATAAAATATACGGTCACAGTTTAGGGATGTGAATTAATGGACAACAACCTAGGTAATGATAACTCTTTTTTGCGTTTTTTCAGTATTGGTAGGTCAGTTGTGTGAATGTTTTGCACTGAAATCCAATAAAATATCTAGAATCGTTCGTTAAGAATGAGAAGTGAGCATTAACTATCCATCAGCTGTCAGTCAGAAGCTCTTCAAATTTTTTTGGATACTGGTTATATTCTTGTGTGTGGTTAATTTCAAATACGTGTATTAAATGCAAAATTTTAATGCATTTCCGGTGTTTAGTATATCATTCGTAAACGTGCATAATTTGACTTATACCTACCTTAAAATTAAGATGAAATAAGTTTTTCTTCACATGTACACACCGATGGGTATTATAGCATAACATTTAGGTCCACAACCAAATAAACAGATATATAAAACAAGTGTGTATTAATTTTAAGATCTCAAAACGCAGCAAAAGGTGATTCAGCAAACACAAAACACAGTACAACGTTATATTGGTATGGAAGCAAGATCAAAGTTCGATTAGTGGGGAACTGATTTAAAGCCAAGTAACTAAGATTTAGCATAAAAGTATTATAGATGAATGAAAGAAAAATATATGAGCAGAGAGATGCTTAAAAACTACAAACAGACCGTGGCAAAGTAAAGTTGAAATTTATATATTTCTCCACACTGTGTATACTTAGTGTTTAAGAATACCACAAAGCAATAAAATGAATGGATGAAGAAAAGAAGATAGATAATCTGAAGGAAAATAGCAAATTTTCAAGGTAGTGGAAAGTGTAATGATAAATGCATAATTTAACTTATCATCAACAAAGTGCTTTTATTTCTGTCGGGCTCGTCAATCTATCATTACTTGTGTTACAGGATTTTCATCATGAGCTGACATTAGTTAGAGAACCATTGGAAAACCTGGGAGTACTGGGCAGCTGTTTCGTCCTAGTTTGGGACTCTTCAGTAGTACGCACCCACCGGGATTCGATTCGGGTGTGAGGACAAATACTTGCCGAAGACATTAGCTAGGGGTCACGCTATGTCGTGAATTGGCAGAAGTTAGAATTCATGGGTCATTTGATGGGGTCCCAGGAGCCCAATGGTATACGAGCTCGCCTTGTAACCAGAAGTTCTTGGGTTCGAATCCCGGTGGGTGCGTACTGCTGAAGAATCCCAAACTAGGTCGTAGAAAACAGCTGTCCAGTACTCCAAGGTTTTCCAATGGTTCTCTAACTAATGTCAGCTCATGATGAAAATCCCGTAAGCAATCAGTCAAATCCCTACAAACCAACACTTGAATATCATTACTTTGGTTAGCGATCGAATGAAAAACTGTATCAAATATTTACATATTCTTAATGCTACTAAGTGGTATCGAACGTTTCTTTTATAAGTTTTCCAGCAGAAGTTCAGGTGGGAAAATAAATAGCGTCATTGACACTTACAATGATAAATTGAATGAGTCAATTATAAACACAACTATAATATAATGCTTATATGAAAGAATAACAGCACACGAACTGTGATCAATGAACGAAATATTCCCATATGGAGTCATAAGAAAAGGCACAAACAGCGAAGAAAATTTTCTTTTTGACGATTCATTTTCATGAGCTGTACAGTCGTAGTTATCCTTCGACGTCACAGCATTGTATACCTCAATCGGACAAAAACTAGCAAAAGAAACCATGGAGCAATTACTTAGCAACGAAGAACACCTTCCACAAAAATCAAAAATGCAACACACAAGTTGGATGGAATGCATAAACCTATGTCTAACAACGTACTTCCAATTCAACGGCCAAATATATGAACAAGTCAAAGGAACACCTATGGGATCGCCAATATCAGGTTTGATTGCAGAAGCAGTGATGCAAAGGCTCGAGAACATAATTCTACCAAAGATCAAACCCAAGATTTGGATACGTTACGTAGACGACACATTCGTAATTATCAAAAGAAACGAGTTAGATAAAGCTCACAACCTAATAAACAACGTCTTCAACGACATCAAATTCACAAGAGAAGAGGAATCAGAAAACCAAATCCCATTTTTGGACGTCTTAGTCAAGCGAACAACGACAGGGGAATTAGAAACTCAAGTCTATAGAAAATCAACTCACACAGACCAAATCCTGAATTACAACAGCAACAATCCAATAGCACACAAGAGGAATTGCATACAAACACTATTCAAGCGAGCCAGGACTCATTGCAGCACTCCCACCTTAAGGAAAATTGAAGAAAAATATCTCATGGACGTCTTCCAAAAGAATGGATATCCATGGAATTTCATCAAAAGACATATACCCCCAAGCCAACCTATCAAACCAAAAGCCCCCAAGGAAAGCACAAAGAAAATCGCCTTACCATATATAAAGGATATCTCAGAAATCACTACAAGACTCTTCAAACCTTTAGGAATTGACGTCGTACACAAACCAACAAAGTCACTTCACTCAATTCTATGTCAACCAAAAGACTCAACAGCGAAGGAAGATAAAACCAACATCATCTACAAAATAGATTGTATCAACTGCGAAAAACACTACATTGGCCAAAGTGGACGTCCCCTTCGTCTTCGTATCCACGAACATAAGCTAGCTGTCAAAAGACATGATATCCACTCCCTCATATCACTACATACAGACAACCACGGACATCAATTCGACTGGGACAACGTTCAAATATTAGACAGAGGAAACAACAAGAATGCTAGAGAATTTTTAGAAGCTTGGCATTCCAGTGAATCATCAATCAATAGACACATCGAGATAGACAAAATTTATCAACCGATAAGAAAGAAACGTCACACACAAAGGGTCAAAGTTCAAGTCAAAGAAACAATGAGTGACAATACAAGTAACCTAGAAGGTGTGAAAACACACAAAAACAACCAATCACGTCCAAGGTCGCCAGGAGAGATGATTAATAAACTCGTGGAGAAATCTAAAAGCTCACTTCAAATTGAAGTATGCGCTGAAGATGTCACCTAGTAGGGTGATGAAAGCTTCGCAAATCAACTATCCAGCTCAGAGAACACAACCACATCAAAAAAAAAAACAGTCGTAGTTATAATTAACAAAGAAATCTTTAGACCAATCAGATACTGGTAAATTTTTGTCCCTGGAAAATTGTATTACATAATGTAAGGTGTAAGAAGGGATGACTAACTGTAAGTTAGGAAGGAGACAGAAGTTGGCATGACGTAATAAGTGTGAGATAGTGAATAACCAATAATCTCGTGGAAAATGGACAGGAACTAGTGGAAAGGCTATATCTCACACTTATTACGTCATGCCAACTTCTGTCTCCTTTCTAACTTACAATTAG